GAGCAATTATGGTTTATATTGACATTTAAAAGGAGGCAAGAGCTCCACCTCTGTCTGCCACAGAGATGGAAATATGTATTTCTGCATGGTAACAGGAAATAACAGGCCCATGCAAGCAAATATTCTTTCCTTCTTACCCTCTGTGTAGCTGAGAGTTGGAGGCAGCACTAGAGGGAAACTAGAGCTGGGTACCTGAAGATGGCTCATGACAAAGAGAGATTAGCTTTGCCAAGTGACTGAGATACTTATTCTCACTTCTACTTTTTTTTTTCCCCTCCTGCCCTTTGGTCTGCCTTCTCCCCATGCTGAGGCGCTTGTTCTAGGTGTGTCTTCCTTAAGGAATAGATTCATTCCAGGTATATGGTAAGCCAAGACTGCTGGGGGTGAAGGAGAGAGATGAACTCTTTCCTTCTCCCTCTACCCTTTGGAAATAAAAAAAGGTGTCTTCCCCCCCCCCACCCCTTCCAATATGAGCAACTCTGGAAAAGTCATTCCTGAGGCAGCCTGTGTTTCTTTTAACCAGTCATCTCTTTTCAGTAAAAAGGTAATGGGCATGTATGGAATTGCTAACAGCCTCTCCAGTTTTTTTCTGTTTTGTATCCTGAAGGAGCCCAGTATAAAGCATTGCTGAAGCAGCACTAATATTCATTACTCTTGAAAGAATGATGGGCTAAGAGTCAAGCAGCATCTTGCCATGTGATTTATTTCTTTAAGTCATCCAGGTGATGCTTATGCTACCATGTTATCAGAAATCTGGATCATTTGCTCCCTGTAATGCACGGTAAATCAATGCTGTAACCCAGAAGGCTTTCCTTGTCCATCCCCTACCACCCTCCTCCCTAATCTGTATTGTTTGGGGGCACTGGGAAGGGAGGAAGTTGCAATCCACAGGAAGGTTGCTGCTAGCAATGTTCTTCCAGGCAGTGTTAAGTCCCACTGTGCTTTGTGATTTCTCTCTAGTGAGCACTGGAAGGGGGCTGACAGCCAAAAACTGCCTGTTTCTGGATGCTGCTGAGGTGTGTTAGCGTTTCAAAGGTGTATGCAGGAGTCTTCCTATTCAGCTAGATAAGATCCTTGCAGCAGACAGTTGGAGGGATTTTTATGGACCACATTCTATACCAAGTGTCTTTCACTGCTAATTTCCAGCCCTTGCTGGAGCAGGGTGTGCTGGGAGTATTTTTACAGGTTGGTTACGATATCTCCCATTTTTTTGTGAAGGAGGGAATTAGTTTGGCTAACAGGATAGTTTCCATCCTCACTGGGCTGCAAAAAAGTCTGTCTTGGTGGATCACACCCATCTTTTCTGTGGTCTGGAAGATAAGCAAAGTAGTCATTAGTAATTACTTGTTTTTTTCAGGTAGGTAAATTTGATCTAGAGGAGATAGATAATGATAGGTGGATATGATCTAGGAGAGAGAGAATTTTTTGGTGTCTTAAGACACACTGATGTAAATATAAACCACGAAATAATCTCTCTTTGAAACCTTCCATGGGAGCTTAAAAGCCCCAAAGACTCCCTTCATCATAACAGCTTGGCTGGTTCTGGATACCTCCCCATAATGGCCGTACAGCCAGAGCAGGTGAAGCTTGTTAGCTTCACTGCAGAAGTAAAAAGGATTTTGCATTTTCTCTGACACAGAAAGAGGTCCTGCAAGGGAAAAATCAAGCAGCAGCTGTGTTCAAGTTCAGTTCCATTGTAGTCTTGTAGCCATGACAAAAGCAAAATCCAGGAAGGGATAGGTAATATTACTAACAATATTAAGGTTTAAGTATTTATGTTTTGGATTGACTCAGTGGCGTGGCTGGGAAAACCAGTAGGAGGAAAGGAGTGACTTGAAGACAGTCATCTATTTTTCCCTCCTCACCAGTGAGAGGCAATGCCAGAATGATGGGATTTGGTTTTGCATTGCCTTCAGCCAACCTACAGAATTGGTCTGAACCAGGGAAGAAAGAGACTTGCAAGTAGAAGAGCTGCAACTAGACATAGGGAAGAGCTCCTTAGAGTTGGTTTGAGAAACGAGTCTCTGTAGCAACTCTGTAGGTATCAGGAAGAAATTGCAGATGCCTGTCCTTCTAAAACAAGACAGAAAGATGACAGATAAGAACAATAGCCACACAGACTGCTGCAGACCCATTTTCCTTATGTGCTTTTTTCCCTATTAAAATTAAAAAACACTCTTGTTTTTGAGAAATTGGTACCTGAAGGGGAAACCCAGGAGTTCCCAAAAAACTTGTCAGAGGGTTTTCAGTGCTTTTAAAGCAAAACTACAACTCTCTGTGCAAGGCCTAAGCAGATGGAGGATCCCTTTTGAGAAAGAAGGGGTTTTTAGCTGGAAATCCTTCTCCTGTGGTCAACCTTGGGGTAGCCAGTAGAAACCCTGCCTCACCTCCAGCAGCTCTGCATCGTTCACACCTCTTCTGCTTCCCTCCTGAGAAGGAGGTCTCTGCAGGGCTCAGCTCTGGACATGATGTAGTCTAGTGATTCCTCCTCCTCTTCCTCTTGTGCCGTTTGCTAAAGAGTTGACTATTTGGAGAGGGATCTCTCTCTTTTTTATGTACTTGTAAAAGTAGTCCAGGACTGATCACCTACAGCTACTCACAGTAAGACTGAAATTTAGTTCCCTTCCTGTTTTTTAGATTCATTTACTAGTTTTCTGTGGGCCAGTGACATTTTTCTATTCTTCTATATAAAATGGCTGCAATTTGTAATAAAACATTCTTTACTGCTTTCCATCACTCAGTATTGTTAATGAATTACCCTTCATAATGTTTCTTTGACTTGAAGATAGATGTTTCCATCCCTAGCTTGCAGATGTAGGTATTGTAGTACTTGTACAGATCACTTACCTTTTACAAATATTTGGGTGTTTTTAAAAAACCCAAGGAGAAAAGGCCAACTTTTTTGCCTTTGCTTTAATTCTGCACCAAGGAACTAATGTAATTTAAGCTCAAAGTTTTCAGTTAGGACTTTGGGATTTCAGGTGAATGGGTTTTCAAAAGGTGCTGTAGTTGAAGGACCCTTTGCCTTCTCCAGCTGCTTGAGCCTGTTTCCCGTGAGAGACTTTCAAGGGCTGATCCATAGCTGGTAGAAACTGGCAGTTTTCATTCCTTCCCTTGCTCCCCACCCTTTGCTTCTAAGCCAAGCAAGAGTAAAAGGGCAGCTTTTATTTTGGCTTTACATTGTGTTTTGGGTTTCTATTCAGGTCTGTCAAATGTTGCAGCACAGTATCTGAGAAAAGTTCTTTTGCATACAGGGGAAGTTGGGACCATTAAGAGCAGTGCTAAAAGTAGTGCAGTTACCCAGGAACATGAATGCAAAAATCGGATAATCGCGTCAAGGGGAACTTGCCTCAGGGTCCACACATTTTAAAATCGCTATACTTGCCAAGAAGGTTGTTAAGGCTGCTCTCTATGTGAGTGCTGGAACTGTGAAATTTTGGACAGAAAACGATTAAGCTACTGCCATAGGTCTAAATGTGCATTTCTGTGGTATGGTTTGCATTTGTTTTATTTTTTTCCACCGGCTGCTTTCCTTATTCTGCTGTCATTAGTCCACACCTCATTATATGCTCCTAGAGAGTACATCCCTCTTGCTTGTTAGGATGGTGTAGGTGGTAATTTGCAGTGCTACAAAGTGCTGGAGGAGAGATAATCAGCTGGGTAAGTCATTACTCTGTGCAGAGACTGACTTGCTGTGCGCGGCTTACTTATCCCACATCGTTTAGGACCTAGAGTGTTGTAGTAATTGAAAATGAAATAGAAAAACTTTAACTTGCTTGCCTAGAAAAGGAAAAAAGGTATGGCTGAATGATGAATACATGGGATATATTGTCCTACCCTAGCAAAAGCTGTGAGTTGAGGGTCTTGAATGCTGTAGTGAATCCAGTAGAGCACAGTTCAACACAGTAGCCTGCACTAAATAGCCTTATACAGTGCTGAATTGCCTCTCTCTTTCTTTCTCAAATATCTCACCCTGAATCCATGTCAAGGTACAGACAGTTCTTTTGCCATGATCTGACATAGCTCTGGTTACCGCATGGCACTTCTTAGTACTTTGTGATAAATGTTTGTAACATTAGGTGGTTCTTTCCTAAGCAGTGTTTCCTCTTTCTCATATTTTTTCCCAGCTATCCATTGCAATCTGAATCCAAATGGTATTGATCACCCTGTCCCCGCAGAAGGTATTAATCTGCAACTTGAAGGTGAAGGAGTTGAATCGCCCTCTGTTAAGAACACTAGTACTCCAAAGGGGCCTGAGTCAAAAGAGACACCCAAGAGACAACAAGCGGAGCCAGAAATATCTAAGGTAGGTAGGACTGGGTTCTTATTTATTTTGATGAGTCTCAAAGAATCCAGGCTTGTTGAAGTCCTGGCTACTGCTTAAAAAGCATTTATCATCCTGTTAAAGACATACAAAGGTGCAAAAGTAACAGTCTGAGGAAGTGGGTGTTCCAGAAGCGAGGTATTGCCGTGGAGTTTTAGCCCACACACATCTTGGGCATTGCACTATTTTATTTTTCTCTAGATGGAGATAATTAAAATAATGGAATTTCTCTTTTTCAGGCACTGTGGAGACTTTTTTTCCAAACGACTTGGGTAACAGCCAGAATGGGAATAGATATGTTTTTCTTGAGTGTTTTTTGTTTGCTTGTTTATTTTTTCCTGAGGTAGGTAAAGGAAGAGAAAGGTCCTATGGATATATGAATATATAGATTTTTATGTGGGTGACTGAGTTTAATAAACTGTTAACTAATTTTAGGTAAAATACCAGGTGAATTCTTCCATGTCTGGTATGTCAGTGAATAAACATACTTCAGAGGTGAATTCCTAAAGACAAATGAAGTGTCTGTTCTCATTCGTAAGCTGCTGTTTCTTGTTTGTGTGTAGCAGACATGACTACCGAGTGCAGGTGAATGTGTGTGCTCCAGACACTTTGGGTATAGGACAATAATTTGTCATATTAGATATGTTTTTACTAGAATGAAAAATAAGAGAATGTTTAAAAAAAAAATTGAGAGAGATTCTTTAAAAGCCTTATTAGTCTTTTTGATCTTTAAAGGCCTAAGATGAGGGTCCTGGGAATGATTTCTGCAGCGTGGAAAATTGAGTTCTTACTGAATCATCTGACACTTTGGGAATTAATAGAGCAAATAAAATGAGTGTCCTTTTTTTTTTTAAAGGTCCAAAAAAGGCAATAACAATTAATTCAATGACTGAACAAATAAGAGTGTTTCCTACTGTCATCAGTACGATAAATCTAACAAATCATACGCATACAGTTGTGATGTATTTCACTTTTAGAATAAAATAGCATTAAACATTTTGAGCAGTAGCCTTGACGATAAGGCTTGGTATGAATTTTCCATTCTGATTTTTATCTAAAATATCTAGTTTTAAATGAGTACAATTTAAACTCATTTCATTCTATCTTAAGTCATTGAAATAAATCCAGTACAGGTTGGCATTGATCAAAATCACTGCTACTTGCAGTCTGTTTTGTGGCCAATTACCAAGCACGTTGCTGATTTCTCTTGAACCCTTGGAGAACAGGTGCTTAATGCTTTGAATCATTCATTTGGTAACAAGACCACCGAATTTTGGATGGGTTTTGAGACAAAGTTCAGCTAATAATGCATTTACCCAGCTTTTTGCAGACAAAGGCAAGCTAACCCTGCCTGTGTTTCAACATCATCAGATGAAAATCTGCCCTGTATTGAAAGCTAAGGGGGTATGTTAAGCTCAGAGGAGATCTTACAAGCTTGGATGTGAAGAAGCTAAAATGATGCAATGGGGCTTCCAATTGGGAATAGGCTCTCATGTAGTTCACGTGGAACACAGGCAGATCAAGCTTGTCTTTGCTTGCAAAAGACTCATCCTAGTAGAAAATCAGGATGAAATATATTGGTGATTTAATGTAATGGAGCCTGTTTGCACTGTCTGAGCCGTACTTGTTGGACTGATCAATAGAAAACCATTTCCAAGGTTGTCCCTGCTGGAGATAGCTGGGGAAAAGGGGAAGAAGCATAGTGCTCTCAAAGTAGTGAAATCAACTATTGGTTTCCTACATCTGATTGCAGTAGCTTTATTTAGGAAGTTGGGCATGCTTCAGATTTAAAAACAAACAAACCACCAAACAATACTAAACATTTTGCTTGATGGAATAATCTGGGCGTAATAGTATCAAGCTAGTGAGGTGGACTTTTTCTGAATGTATTGCTGCCTTGTTAGTAACTTTGTTTTTTATGTGTGGTATTAACTTAGTGATGTTTTTAATCTGAATTCATATATTATAGCCTGAGGTGGCCTGTCTTTTCTGGCTTGCTCTGCCTTAAATTTAAAAATCATGTTGCTTTATCCTCTAAAATGTGAATATAGAGTTGGGTTTGTAACTTGTGTGGCTTTAGGAGTTGAATTAAGCTATCATTATGAAACTTCATCCATGCAATCATATCTGTAGATTGAAAGATGAGCGGGAATAGAGGAAAGTATTGTAAATAAAACATTGTGGGCAGATCCATTTGTTTTATATTTCCTCATTGCTCAGTTGTTTTTAAAAAGGTTTCTTTGCAATCCAATGTATTCAAATAATATTAGCACATACCTCATATCCACAGTAATGAGACTTATATTGTACAAAGCAATGCAATGTATTGAATGCAATTTAAGATACCTTATAGACCATCTTCTCTGCTTTCAGCTTTCTAATTTGTCTTCATTGGGACCAATTCCAGCACTTTAAACCCCTGGCTGCTTTAAGGTTTTGCTGTCCAAAGAAACAAACAAAATCTCTTTTCTACTGAAGTGTGTCCTTCTTTTTCTGTCCTCAGCTATGGACTTGCAGAACAGTAGTAAGTCATGGGTACAGATAGATTTAAAGTTCCTTTTTATGCAGCTACTGTAATGGAAATAGGGGAGTACAAGTATTTGTTTCTATATTTGGAATGCAGACAGCAGAAAGTGTAGCATGAGTGAAGGATTGCTCATTTAGATTCCATACTCATCAGGAACTTCTAATTTTTATAGGCTGACTGAGGTATGATTTTAACGGAAAACGGAACAACGATCTTAGTCTCCCTCAGCTGGTTCCCTAAGGAACGACCTTGTTACAAATGTGAGCAAGGCCAGAAAAGGCCAAGATTATTCATAGCTAAATGGATATGCATAATCCAGTGAGACTCTGATAATGTACAGGATATAATACAAATTAAGGAAATTATATGAAGTGTAAAAATACTTAGCTTTTTTGTTTTATATCTTTATTTTAAAGTGTGTATTTACATATAGAAATATATGCACTTTCTTGGTCAGTGATTGATTTTTCAGTATTCATGGTATATAAAAAAAATTCAGACAGTTGAGTGGACACTTTTACAGAGCCGAAGACTTCATCGGAGAAAGCAAGGATGGTTTTTAATATACATTTTTTATATATATTATTTCTTTAACACCTTCTACATCTAACCTCTGTTGTATGTGTTTTCTGGAATTCTTATCTTTTTTCATTAAAATGCTACTTCTGGCTCTTATGTCTGGTCTGTTTGGTTTTAATATCATAGTTATCTCTAGATAAACACAATGAGCCAAGACATTTAGAGTTACAGAGTACAGTTCTGTTTTAAATTTTTTTTTTTTAAAGTTTCACTGTACTTTTGAAGTCCTGACTTCTCTGAGTATACGCTTTAACAGAAGGTGACTTTCCTAACAAATCTGGTCTGTCACTTATTAGAAGAAGATTATTTATTCAGGGAGTTTTGATTCCTAAGTAAGGTGTGCATACCTGGTGACACTCTTTGTCTCATTATGTGGTAGCAGCAGTAGCAAATAATAAAGGCTTTTTAATGGCAACCACTACGGTTAGACTTTTTATCTTGTGTTAGCAATGGCATTTTTTTTATCTAATTCGGAGGCAAATTAACAGTCCTTTAAACTGTACATGAAAACTATGAAAAGAAACTGGTAAAAAGTGAGAAGCTTTTTTTATCTTGCCTTCTGTTGTTAACTGCTATATCGACAGCAGTAGACTATACTTTTTGTGGCAGTGTAGCTCATTAATTCTTTTGGTTGCTCTTGCTTTCTTAAAAAAAAAAAACCTTTTTTTCAAAATGACATCGAACAACACTGATGGGGCTGACTGAACTCAGTAACAAGAAGATGAGAATTTATCTCTGCTTACTGGGCCCAGTTCAGGACTGATTAGAGTGGAAGCAGCTCCTCTGGCTTCCTGGGGAGTTCTGCTCTGCTCAGGAAGTATTTGGTGTGTGTGTCAAGTGTGTGATGAAATGTCCAAGCACAAACGAGTGAGGCTTCTGAGTAATAAGGTTGTTACAAAACACTTTTATATTTCTAAGCATAACTTTATCAGTTATTTAAAAAAAAAAAAGCCCTGGTACTGTTCTCTAATGAGACACTAGGAAAAGTAATTTTCTAGAAGAATTCTCCAAGGTTTTTAATTGGTGGCTTCTGCTTCACAGTGTTTATCCTTTTTGGTCAAGCTTATAAGATCAGTTGGGTGAGAAAGACAGTACGCGCCAAACAGTGGTCCTGGTGTTGAGTATGATGCAGCATATGTGTTCATCAGCATAGCTGCTTGGTATGCTAAGACCATTTTATCCCCCCCTCCCCCCCTTTTTTTTTTTAATTTTTCGTAATCGGTTGAGAAACACCAGTGGCCACTGAACTGGGGCAATGAGGTTTTACCATTTTGCTTTGTCTTCGAACTGTCCCCCTCTTGTGAAACTTCTGGTGGCCACAGGATATGTGAACAAGAGCCCAGACTGGACTGGCTGAAGTTGACAAACGTTTTCGTTGTGTGGCAGGGTGGGAGGGTGTTTGAATTGCAGACTTCTACTTGTATCCCAGTGGAGGTACAGACCCTGGATGGTGAAATGTTACTTTACTGACAGGAAGTTTTGCTTTTCTTAGTTGATTTTTGTGGAGAAGTAGTTGACAGATTAGCAATGTCCACATCAGGTCACCACAATGAAAGCCAACAGATATGGTGTGAGTGATTTTTTTTTTTTTTCTCTCCTTACTTTTTGACTGCAATAGTGACAAAGCACCACTTATTGCATTGGGTCTTTTTTACGACTAGCAAAAATAGGTACAGAATCTGAGTGTATGGAATCTGAAGTGGATTTAAAAATATTTGGCAAATGTTAATATCAGCTGAAATAATCACACTTCAGGGCAATGTGCCTTTCTAATGTCTCATTCTGTGATTATTAGTAATACACAGTAATTAGTGTGCTCACTTCTATCTTCGTATTCAATAGGCTTTTTCTTTCATGTTAGAAGTCTTGCTTTGAG